GGTTATAGGTTATTCAAATTTTATTTACATAACAAACATTATTAAATTAATACCTATAATATATTTATAAATAACAGGGCAACTCGTGTTACGCAAACAAACACACTCCGATATTAATTTTTTTTTTTTTTTTTTTAAATAAAAAATAAATAAATAAATAACAATTACATTCGATTACATAAAATTACTCTAATACCACCTTTTTTTTTTTTTTTGTAATTATTTACATAATTATCTATTGATCCTTTTATTATTATTATTATTATTATTATCGTGCGAGTGAGAGATTGTTTTGGTATTATAATAATAATAATAATTTTTGAGGGACATGCAGGTTTTAAAATGAAAATTTCAAATCCTGCGGTTTATCGATTAGGTTTTTTTTTTTGGAATAAAAACAAAACACGATAATAATATTACTCGGGTAATTTTTTTTCAAGGTTTTCCTAACAGGAATAAAATAATAATAATAATAATAATAATAATAATAATAATAATAATAATAATAATAATAATAATAATAATAATCGTATGTGTGATTATTGTTAAAATAAATTTTTTGAAGTTGGTGGTAGTAGATATTGATAATCGGTTTTTTTTTTTTTTATATCATTCGTTTTCATTACTAAATAATAATAATAATAACATTTTAGTTTCGAAGAGAGTAGGATGGGGAAAGGGGAGAAGAGGGGAGGGGAAGGATTTTTTAATTAACACAAAATTTAATTTATTAGTTTTTTTTCACGCTCTAAATTTTTTGTATTCAAGTTCATAGGTAATTTTTTTTTAATTATTCAGTTTACCGGTTAAAATCGTTTTTTAATTTTTTTTTTTTAAATTTCTTCGTTATCGATAATAATAATAATCATAAAAAATCATTTTAAATTTTCTCACGTAAAAAAAAGAAAAAACGTTAGAGTAAAAAATTTAAAAATCATTAAAAAATCATTCGAATTCCTTTAAAAAAAAAAAAAATTTACGCGTGATTTGTGATTTTTATTTGCAAAATGAATGAATTAAATTTTT